TTTGACCCTCCGTCGAGCCATGTGAAAAGTTCTATTCATTCGAAACCGTTAAAATTGATACGAGTGGATGAATGGTCAAACGACGACGGATTCACCCCAAACTTGGTGTGTTGGGGTTTTAAAATATGTAGATCAAGTTCTACGGAGCGGATCATCCACAATGTAGCTCAATTATGTGATTTTAAGCCGCGTCCTTAGATGATTATCTAAACGGAGCGGATCATCCACAATGTAGCTCAATTATGTGATTTTAAGCCGCGTCCTTAGATGATTATCTAAGGCGTCACCTTAGGAACACTTCTCCCTATATATAATATATGTATATATAATATATTTCTATATATGTATAATATGTCATATGTGTGTATATATATACTCTCTCTTAGTATATAAGTATATATAAGTATACTCTCTCTTATGTAAGTATATATAAGTATACACTCTCTTATATATGTATAATATATGTGTGTATATATATATACTAATATACTCTCTCTCTCTCTTAGTATATATGTATATATAAGTATACTCTCTTATATATGTATACTCCCTCTTATATAAGTATACTCTCTCTTATATATGTATAATATGTGTGTGCTCTTATATATGTATACTCCCTCTTATATAAGTATACTCTCTCTTATATATGTATAATATGTGTGTGTGCATGTGTGTATACTCTCTCTCTTAGTATATAAGTATATATAAGTATATATAAGTATAGTATATTACAACGGCTACTTATGCGATTCTCTCTCTCTCAAGTTATAACTTATAAATATATACAATATATTTACATATAATATATGTATATATAATATATAGTTACATAATAATTTGTAAGTATATACCAATACATAATTATATAAAATAAAATAATATTAAACTAATTTTTAACATTTTTTTATCAAAAAAAAGAAATTAAAAGAAATTTAAAAAAAACCAAGTTGGGATGTTATCTATTGTGATGCGATGAATTTCAAAATAAATTTATACTTGTAATTTATAAATGATTTATTAATTATTAATAAAAAATTTATATTTTTAATTTTTTATTTGTAATTTATGTTATTTTAAGTGATTAATAAAATTATTATTTTTTATTAATTTTTTTTTTTGGTAATTTAAAATTTAAATAAAATTAAAAAAAAGAAAATAAAGTCTGAGTCCAGGTCCGGGCTCCGGTTTTGCCCGGCCCGGGCCCGGATTTTCGGGCCGGGCCAGGCCGGGTCGGTCCGGATAGACAGGTCTAGTTTCACCGCCCTGTGGATTGTGAAGAAAAAGTCTATAGAGCTCAAGGTGTTGAAAGATCAAGGTACAAAGCTCATCTTATTTTTAAGATTGTAGTTAGAAAGAACTAAAATCCTGCAGGGTTAGTGCGGTCGACCACCACGATCAACCGCGATCAGCTCCAAACTCTCCTGAGCTCCTGTGCATGTTCGCGGTCGACCGTCGCAAACTCGCTGTCGACCGTGGATCAGTCTGGCAGTTTTCTTCCTCTTTCTGATTCCAGATCCGGCTTCGACTTTGGGTCTACACTTTAGACTAACAATCTTCCACTTGAAGACCAAAGTGCCTTCAGTGAGTTCACCCGAACTCTCCCCTTCTTCACATGTATCTTCTCCTCCCCTGAAAAATTCTTTCTTCAATCAATAATATCCCGACAATCTCGTCGATCCTCGTAGTGTGGCTTCACCTTCGTCTTCTACTCGTGAAGGCTAACTAAAGTTACGCATAACTCCAGTTTCTCTATGGTGACTACCTTTGTCAACATGTCCGCCAGATTTTGAATTTTCAAAATCTTCATTAAATGTAACTTTCCGTCTTCAACTAGTGAGCGTATACGTCGATGTGCTTCGTTCTGACATGATATATTGGATTCTTGGCAAGATGTATAGCGTTCTAACTATCACAATAAAGAACCCCTCTCCCTTGCTTCAAATCCAACTCTTCCAAGCACCCGTTCAACTAGACCATTTCCTTGCTTGCTTCGGTCACCATGACATACTCAGCCTCGGTTGTAGACAAAGTCACAATCTTCTGCAGACGTGAGACCCAGCTCACTGCTGTTGACGCTAAGGTATAAACATACCCCATAGTGCTTCGTCTCGTATCATTATCACCGGCGAAGTCCGCATCCACGTATCCCTGCAGTACCAACTCCTTTCTCCTGAAACATAGTGGTTTGATAGTTGTTCCCCTCAAGTACCGCATTATCCACTTTACGGCCTCCCAATACTGCTTCCCTGGATTGCTAGCAAACCTGCTCACAACTCCCACTGCATGGGTGATGTCTGGTCTCGTGCAAACCATCGTGTACATGAGACTCTCAATGGCTGAAGAATATGGCACCCTGCTCATATGCTCTCTATATGCATCTGTCTTAGGCGATTGCTCTTTAGATAGCTTGAACTAACTTCCAAAGTGCGTGCTAACAACCTTAGCATTCTGTATATTAAACCTCTGAAATACCTTCTCGATATATTTAGCTTGGCTCAACCTCAATATCCCTTCAACTTCGTTCCTACTGATTCACATCCCTAGAATATGCTTTGCTGTACCCAGATCTTTCATTACAAACTCCTTTGCTAGCTGCTTCTTCAGACTGTTTATATTTTCTAAACACGGTCCTGCTACCAATAAATCATCAACATATAATAACAATATAATGAAGCTGGACTCGAACCTTTTAAAATAACAGCAATGATCTGAATTACATCTTCTATAACCATTGTTTTGCATGAAGTTGTCAAACTTCTTGTACCACTATCTCGGAGCCTGTTTCAAATCATATAAGCTCTTCTTGAGCTTGCACACCATCTCTTCCTTTCATTCTTCAATGAAACCAACATGCTGCTTCATGTAGATTTCTTCATCCAAGTCATCATGAAGAAAGATAGTTTTCATATCTAACTGCTCAAGAAAGAGGTCTTCTGCAGCTACCAAACTTAATACCACTCTAATGGTTGTGAGCTTCATAACAGGGGAAAATATCTCCGTGTAGTCCACTCTTTCATGCTGTTAAAACCCCTTCACTACTAATCTGGCCTTGAATCTCTTGCTTTCATCACTCTCTTGCTTGACCCGGTATACCCATTTGTTATGTAAGGTCTTCTTCTGAGCAGGTAGCTAGGCTAACTCCCATGTCTCATTAGTGAGTAGAGAATCCATCTCCTTCTGCATCATATGCTCCTACTGCTAAGACTCACTCAATTGCATTGCCTCTTCATAGCACTCCGGCTCACCGTTGTCTGTCAACAATAAGTAGTCAAGAGATGAAAGATATCTAGGATTTAGTTTGGGTATCATGTATGACCTCCTAAGCTCCACGCCCTTGGTAGTTTCTTCTGCACCTGGAGCCTCCTCCGTTCTGTGATCAGAACAAACATCATCACCCCTATCTGGAAGTTTCTCTATATCCATGTACCAGGATTCACCTACATCTGAAGTGTTGCTCCTACTTCTTTGGCTATCATTAGCATTTTCCCTGTTCTTGTACATCACCTCCTCATTGAATATCACGTCCCTGCTTCTAATGATATTCTTGTTCTTCTCATCTCAAAGACGATACCCGAACTAATCAATATTGTATCTAATAAATACGCATTTCTGTGACTTAGCTTCTAGCTTGTCTCTGACATGGTCACTGATATGAACATAAGCCACGCAACCAAATTAGCTTCTAGCTTGTCTCTGACATGGTCACTGATATGAACATAAGCCACGCAACCAAATACCCGCAAGTGCGAGAGATTTATCTTCTCTGACATGGTCACTGATATGAACATAAGCCACGCAACCAAATACCCGCAAGTGCGAGAGATTTATCTTCTTTCCACTCCAAACCTTCTCTGGAATCCTAAAATCTAATGGAACTGATGGCCCGTGATTAATAAGGTAAGCTGCTGTATGCACCGCATTCGCCCAAAATATCTTAGATAGACCTGCATGTAATCGCATGCTCCTGACATACTCCGTCAAGGTCCTGTTCATCCTCTCTGTAATGCCATTCTATTACGGCGTCTCTGGAGTAGTCCTCTCTAAACGAATGCCATTCGTAGCACAGAACCTCTTAAACTCCTCCAGCTCGTATTCTCCACCATTGTCCGATCTCAGACACTTTACCTTCAGATCTGTCTCGTTCTCCACCATGGCCTTCTACTTCTTGAAGACTCCAAACACCTCTGACTTGTGCTTCATGAAGTAGATCCACACCTTCCTCGAGTGATCGTCGATAA